TCCCTCGGGGGGCGCAATTCCTGCGATGAGTCTCTAAGAAGGGCGCTGTCTTCTTTTGAAGTGCAGGAGTGATTAGTTGTTGTAAGCATACAGCCAAGCCAAGTTGTGATTACTTCTAAATTCCTCATTGAAAAACGAGTGAAACGAACGAGAACTTTAGCTGTAAGGTAGGAACTGCATAACAACTGGATAATTTTCAGCTTGTGAGGTGGTGCCCGTCGAGCTTCTTGAGTCTTCGGGTTTTGATGTAGCGGGAGGTCACACATGGTACTTCCTCAGATTGTAGGCCATCCACTGCTTTTCGATCTTTTTGCCGTTTCATGGTGGCGAGGATGTAATTACTCTTGCCGCCTACTCTGCTGATCTTGTACAGACCTTCCCAGATGAGAATCGTCTTTTTGGATCCTTCTCTGCAGGCAATGATGAGGGCTTTTCTGCGCCGTCGACATGCAAATGCCAGAAGTCTCCATCGGGTGGAGTAGGCGCTGCTAGAGTGTGCTCGGCTACTTCTGAGGCATCGTTGGGCCGCTCTGTTGCGTCACCTAGGCTCGGCGTGAAGGCGCAGTAGGGAGCTGTGGAGATGGGGCCATGTCATACGCAGCAGGAGATGCTCAACTGCTGGTATTGGGCCACTCTAGAGTTGAATCATTGAGTAAGGGTCGGCTAGGGCCGTGTGGTGCGCAGCAAGAAGTGGTACTCAACTGCCGGTACATGTTGCTCTTATGTAGAATCTTTTAGGGTGACGAGGACAAAACTTGCTTCTGAGTGTGTCCTTCCAGTGTTGCGTTCGTCAGAAAACTTCACATCCGCCGGGGTCTATGCCTTTATCGTCGCGCGTCTGGATTGGGCAGAATAGTATGTCATGAGGATGATTGCATGCGTTTGAAAGTAAAACTTGTGCTTCTGGGTTGCAACAACTATCGCCAAAGTTAGCTTTTGAATTTTTAATAGCATCGAGGAAAGCTTTTGAACTGTAGAATACAGGTAGTCGGGCCTCTAGCTCTTCTCACATGATGGTATAGCTTATTGCTACTTTAGAAACCGTCAAACATGCGAATAGGTCCTCCGCTGCTTCTAGGGAGGTGATGTCGGGTACTTCTTCAAGTCTTTAAATGTGCATTGGCGAGCCTCATCCCAAAGTGCATGCTTCTCTGCCAAAGCAAAAGAGTCTGCCAGAGTTAGATCTTATTTCATGATCAATTTTCCGAATAGCGGGTGGTCTGCCGGAAGTCCTTTTTGGAAGGCTGCTCTAGCTATCGAGTCGTTGCATCTGACTATTTTTGCCTTCTCTACTTTGAACCTCCTCACATAGTCGCGAAGCGACTCCTTTGGGTTCTTCTTGACGTCGAACAAATGGTCAGACTTCTTTTTGATCGAGCGATATGATGAATATTCTTTGGTGAAAACCAAAGAAAGTTCGTAGAAATTCCGGATGGATTGTGGCGGCAGGGTGTAGAACCAATTTTGCGCCTCGCCTTGTAGAGTAGTGGCGAATATCTTGCACATGAGATCATCATTATTTCGATAAAGGATCATTGCGCTTCAGTAGCGCTTTAAGTGTCTCTCCGGGTCTTCATCCCCTTTGAAAAATGTGAAATGTAGCATGCTGAACTCGCGTAGAGGCTCTGCCTGCTCGATCTCGTCCGTGAAGGGTGACCTGCTTATGTTGGTCATGTTCCGTCGTAGTGCCTCGTCGGTGACCTCGTTGCGTTGGAAATCATGCAATCGCTTGGTCAAGAGTCTTTCTACTTCTTCCTGAATTTGCCTTTGTTGGGGTAGCGGATCTCTCGGTTGCCCCCAGCCATGACTTGCTGGTCTAGGCTGCTCTTCCATGAGTTTGGCTCGTCTATGCCGCAGATGCAGTGCATGTGGTGCGTTCCTAGCAGGCGAACGAGTTCTTCGCAGGCTGCTGGTTGAACTTGAGCTGGATTGAGTGACTGCTTCTCTCCGTCCGTCGTGCTGCCTACTCTGATGTGAGGTGGAGGATGCTCCTTGTAGGCTTAGCCACGAATGGACACTTTGCCCGGAAGGTTGCTCATGTTGACTATCGGAGTATGACCCCAACCGTGAATGCATGCTCATCCGTGGGCCTAGTCGAGAGTGCATGCTCCTCTGCGCGCTAAGACGGGAATATACACTGCCCAAACGTTCGGCTCGTGACTGGTCGAGTGGCTGCTTACCGGGATGCTGCTGAAAAGGTCTGTCTTCCCTTGTTCTACTTCGGGATACCTCGTCCGAGGCACGTTGGATCCCGATGCGTTGCAAAAGTTGATTCACCAAGGTTGTCTGTTGTGCAAGGGCGCTCGTCAACTCTATGACTTGTCGAGACAAGTGTTGTTCGCTATTTGGATTGGAAGAGCTTGGAAGGAATGCGCCTCCTTGGGCAGTGAAAGGGTGGTAGACTTCGGGCACGAGATTTGAGTTGGGAAATGTCAAACCTGCGAAAAAATATGGTGAGAATGCCCCCGGTTCGATGGTAGGTCCGGATGGTTGAGATAGTCTTAGGCCGACTTGGGCTGCTTGGAAAGCCACTGGAGCAGGATAGGCGGTGAGAGTGGGCTGCTCGATGGAAGCAGGCTGGACCACGGGAGTGGGCTGCTCGTCGGGAGCAGGCTGGGTCATGAAAGCAGGTTGCTTGGCAGGAGCAAGCTGGGCCACGGGAATGGGCTGCTCGACGAAAGCAGGTTGGGCCACGTAAGTGGGTTGCTTGACGGAAGCAGGCTGGACCACGGGAGTGGGCTGCTCGTTGGGAGCAGGTTGGGTCACGAGAGCAGGCTGCTTGGCAAGAGCAGGCTGGGCCACGGGAGTGGGCTGCTCGACGGAAGCAGGCTGGACCACGGGAGTGGGCTGCTCGTCGGGAGCAAGTTGGGTCATGAGAGCAGGCTGTTTGGCACGAGCAGGCTGGGCTGCGAGAGCAGGTTGCTTGGCGGGAGCAGGCTGGGCCATGGGAATGGGCTGTTCGACGGAAGCAGGCTGGACCCCGGGAGTGGGCTGCTTGTCGGAAGTAGGCTGGACCACGGGAGTGGGCTGCTCGTCGGGAGCAGGTTGGGTCACGAGAGCACGCTGGGCCACGAGAGTGGGCTGCTCGACGGAAGTAGGCTGCTCAATGCGCGGTGCATGTGAATGCGAGGCTTGAGCTTGGGTCCACGTAAACTTGGATGGCACGGCTTGGGTCGTGGTCTTGGTACCGTGAGCCTTGGATGGCACGGCTCGGGCCGTGGTGAAAGCTCCATGGACCTCGCCACGAATGGCTACCGAAGTAGCCACCGCGGTGGTTCCCATGGTGGCCGTGGTGAAGGCACCGCTGTGGTTCCCATGGTGGAAACTCGTGGTGGTGATGCCACTCCCCTTATTGTCGCATTTTGCCTCACGGATCTCCGCAATCCCATTTCTTGTATATTAGAATTTTCACTTATGGAATTTTCTAAATTTCTAGCCATTATATTTTGCTTATACGTTTTATCAAAGAACCTTTGCAAGTAAAAAATTCTAATAATAAGAACGTATGAAAAATATTCAAATGGACTAGAAAATAAAGAAAAAACCTTTTTGTGTGAGAGTCTTCTACGAGTATGGATTTCAACTCTCAATGAAAGCACCAATTTGTGGATGCAAATTTTCTCCTCTTCGATCTTGGACGATTTTGCACCTACAAAACAACTAGCACCTTAGGTTAAGGCCAAGAGCCTCACGCGCCCACGATAAATGGGGGGGCTTTGGCCGAAGAACCTCCGATGCCAAAGTTAGAATTTTAGAGAGAAATAGTGTTTAGAATATTTGGGATTTTTTGTAAGAGAATTGGAGCTAGTGTTTTGTGAAAATGGGACCCAATTTATAGGAGAGGAAAGGGTGATTTATTTTGGGGGGTTATGGAGATAATGGGCTAGTTATTTTGGGGAGTTATGGAAATAATTGGCTAGTTAATTAGCAAATAGTAATAACCTAATTAACTAGCTATTTGAATGTCATAAAAAGGGGGAGAAAATGGCAGCAACAAACAGAAAGTAAAGGGCATGGCCGGCCCTAGTGGGTTTTTGGTTATAATTTGGAGGTTTAGTTGATAATTAAGGGATTGATTAGGTAATTAATCCCTTAATTAGTCAATTTTAGGAAATATGAAAGGAATAAGTATATTATTTAGCTAATTGATTAGCTAAATAATGAAATGGGAAATAAATGAATAAATTAGGTTTTAAGTTGATACCTATTTTGGGCACTTTTGACTTGGTTGAAGGATAATTGTCTGCTGATTGCACGTAGGAATCCCGGTATACCTCAAGGGTAGTTTTGTCTTTTTTTGTCAAAAATCCACGTGTCGCCTTGTGATTATTTTTGGCTCCACAAGTGTCATTATACAAATGGTGGGATATGTGTGCTAAAAAGTTAATAACTTAAAAAATAAAATTTTCCACAACTTCTATTAAAACACGTGGTTTATCACTTATATTTCCGTCACAATTAAAAATTTCTCGTGCTTCTCATGCTTCAGCAAAAACAAGAAACAAGAAACGAGGGATGCGGGTCTGCTATCCCGAAAATGGTGTATCCTCTATGTCTCCTTGTTTATTTTTTTGACACGTGTCATGCCACTAACAGATGAAAAATTATTAAATAAAACTATTTTATATTCTTCTGATGAATTTCAGACAGCAGAAAACTATGGATTAATTCAATAAGACATTTTGGTGAGATTTGGCCTCACGACCTCAAGTATATAATGTAGTCACTCAGATTATTGATCTATTAAAATAATTTGTTAGCTATAGAAAATTTAATCTCTCCAATTTTTTTTTTAATTTTTTATTTATAACAAATATGGTGATGCTCAAAAGTCAAATCGTAACATTTCTACTATTAAATTATTTAAGGGGAGAGAAATGTTAGAACTTGAATGCAGTGGGTTGAAGAGTCTTAACCACCAAAATAATTAATTTAATATAAGGGTAATTCTTAATCCGTTTCTCTTTAGCGTGCGTACTAATTGTAAAAATATATCCAACTCATACAATTTTAAAAGCACGTAGTTAATTAAAATTATGAAAATAATTAGGGGTTGACATATTGATATTGTTACGTACCAAGGACTAAGGCATAAGCACCAGTACGTAGCAGCAGCAAACCAATTAAGTTCCTCAATAGTCACTCGACTCATTGGTTTCACTCCTCTTGCTGTACCGTCCTCTGACACGCCCTCCGTGCCCTTCTTCCGAGTCATCATCATCAGATTTTTTTGTACTCGCGACGCCCTCCGTGTCCTTCCTCCGAGTCATCATCATCAGATTTTTGGTACCCGCGACGCCCTCCGTGTCCTTCCTCCGAGTAATCATCAGTGCTTACCACACCATAGCCACCTCCGCCGCTAGTACGACGTCTTTCACCAGAGTAATCAGTGTTATCGCTGTAGCCACTGCCGCCAGTACGACATCCTTCACCAGAGAAAGCAGTGGTCTCGGTAGCACGGCCTCCGTGTCCTTCTTCCGAGTAACTATCAGTGTTGCTGGCCCCGCCGTAGCCACCTCCACCAGTACGACGTCCTTCGCTAGAGTAAGCAGTGGTCTCGCTGTACACGGCACGGCTTCCGTGTCCTTCTTCCGAGTAATCATCAGTTTTGCCTTCTTCATAGCTGCCTCCGCCAGTAAGGCGTTCTTCACCAGAGTAATCAGTGCTGTCGCGGTAGCAGCTGCCGCTGCGGGCCCCGGTACGTCCTTGGGAAGAGTAACCAGTAGTGGAGTCGCCGTAGCCACCACCAGACCGGGCTCCGTAACCAGACTGAGACTGAGAGTAGGATGAGATTTTTTCTTCTTCCTCTTCGTCCCTTTGGCTGGACAAGAGGCCAAGGCTGTGCTGCTCCTGATCAACCATAGTGGGTTAGGGGTATTTTGGGAATTGTAGGAAAATGCGAGAATGAAGGAACGTTATGAGGAGGAAAGGTGGCGACTGAGTTTTGTGATGTTGTCTGAGTGCATGGTGCCGTTGGAGGGTTCTTATATAAGTGTTGGGCGTCCTAAAAATAACTCTCTGCAGGAGGCTTTGCCTATTCTCCATCACAAGCTCATACGTAAAATATCCACCGAAGGTGGGACACTAGTGCTTTTGCCACTTGCATGGCTACCTATCCAAGCCTTGGTCGACGGTCACCATTCCTCTCTCTCTTCTCTCTCTCTCTCTCTCTTTCTCTCTCTCTCTCCAACGTGAATAGATAGGGTCATAGGGTTGATATCCTTCTAAAGGGCACTATGAAAAACGACGTTTCTTTGTTTTTCTTTTTGAAAGTGTATGGGAAACATAACTTTGGACTACATATTTTTTTGTTTGAGACAGATCTAGATATATGTTTTATTTTGGCTATATCAATGTGGTAATCAAATTTTATCAACTCTAGAGGGGACGCTATATGTATTAAAGCATACTTTTAGTTAATAGAATTGTCGAGTTTCACCAACACTTAATCTTCGCGTGGGTTCAACATCAAATGCAAGAGGGAATATCTCCACATAAATCACACCAAACAGAGGAGATACCTCTCTCAGGCCAGCTTGCTCTCCATACATCATGTGATGGATTCATGTAAACTAAGGCACCACCTCCGTTAGCAGAGTTAATGGGATCAACATTCCAAGTGAGGGTCAACGAAGATTCGACAAGCCAAGAAGTGACCGCAGATGAGATCAGCCCAAAAGGGTCTCCCAAGGCAAGATCTAGATGGATCTTCAAGCGATAATGACCTCATATAATCATGGCCATAGTCCATGAACATGTATGTTAACAGTGATCTTTAAACATGACTCTTGATTGGTGCCCTCATCACGCCTCTCATAGTCAACCGTTGTTGGCTAAAAGGGCGAGATAACCTGGGGTTCAAATCAACCACTTAGGTAGTGCACACGTGCCCTAATGAATCATCCTAAGCTCAAGCCAAACTCTACATCAAGACATGTCCGCTTTCCTGTGAAGGTAATGTTGAAATTTAGGATTATTTTATTGTTTGAATTTGGGCTTAGCCCATTAGTATTAGGGTTTCATTTTCTTGCTTATTAGGGTTATGTTAGTTCTCTATATTTGTAGCTCATAGAATAATAAGTTAGTCACAATATAGCCTTTAGGGTTTTGTAGACGTTTCAGCATTCTCGTTTGTTTAATAATATTCTTATTTTGTTAGTCTTGTTCGTTGCGCAATCTAATATTCAACTTGGTATCAGAGCAAGTTCGATCTTTAGGGTTCAATCCGTTCTCGTTGGTATCAATTTGTTTGCCTTTGTCGTCGTTCGTTTTAGATTTGTTAGTTGGTATTGATTGTTTGCAAGGAAAAGAAAGATGAAAAAAAAATTGAATTAGATGATCGTGAGGAAAGCCTGAAGTTCGTATACTGCAGTGCACTGAATCAAGAACCTCGGTCAAACCAGCCTTCAACCTGCTGCCTGTCTGCTAACGAGGCCTTGATCCGAGAACCACAACTTGGATCAAGTTCATCTTCGCTACACCTACCCCATCTGAATTCGCCGCCAAACCTGCATCTGCTGTGCTGCATCATGCGACTCGAACCCACCATCACCTGCATGATTCACTGCTGCTGCAACAACTTGCATCTTCGCATCATACCATGCCTCATAATCAACCCGCACTCGACCCGCACCAGCACTGAAGGAACCTGCAACCCAGATCCCAGCCCGCGCTACTGCTGCCTGTAACCCCAATCTGACCTGCCGATCTGACTGATCCACCACACCACTACTACACCTCTGTCCATCACCGCTGCTATACCCGCTGCCTTAGAACCACTATCTTGTTGTTGTTTGTTCGCACAGTTGCTACACCAATGCGCCACAAACTTCCAGTTTGATTTAAGAAAGGTAAAAGGGAAGGAGAAAAGAAATCCAAAGAAAATAAAAGGAAAAAAAAGGACAAAAGAAAAAAAGAAAAAAGGAGAAAAAAAATGGAGCTTGTCTTGTCGTGTCTGCCTAACGGAGCTTGTCTTGTCCTGTCCGCCTAACGGAGCTTGTCTTGTCCTGTCCGCCTAACAGAGCTTGTCTTGTCCTGTCCGCCTAACGGAGCTTGTATCCACATCTGCTTGTTGGCAAACTCATGACGTGTACCGCTATGAGTTTGATGCGGGGTGTTGGAATTTATGATTATTTTATTGTTTGAATTTGGGTTTAGCCCATTAGTATTAGGGTTTCGTTTTCTTGCTTATTAGGGTTAGGTTAGTTCTCTATATATATGATGCTTTGTAACTTGTAGAATAATAAGTCAGTCACAATGTAGCCTTTAGGGTTTTGTAGTGGTTTCAGCATTCTCGTTTGTTTAATACTATTCTTATTTTATTAGTCTTGTTCGTTGCGCACTCTGGTATTCAACTGGTAATTGTTTCTTTAGGCAGAAATTCATAGCTTATGGTTCATTTTCCTACAATTAAATTTAACTTAGGCATTAAAGGATCTTTGGCTCACAACCCATCAATCTGACAAGGTCTCACTTGTCTTACTATCTTGGTTGTAGGGGTACATAAGAGTATTTCTACACTTGTGTAAAATTTGTTCCACACAAATTAGTGTTTTTATTAAGAACCTGTTCATATTCATAGTAGTCTCTCAATTCTGAGTCTTGGAACTTTTCGGAAGAACCATTTATTTCTAACTCGTAGAAACGTCCTTATATATGGAATGCACTTGCCGTAATAACAACCTAGGGCAAAGCTCCAACCTTTTGCTCAACAGTAAGAAGAAAACCGAGCCCCTCTTCCAAACTCAAATCCTATTGTGGAAGAGTAGGCTGTCAATCAGGATTTACCTCCTAGGCTCCTACTATGGAGGATTGGATGGATCTTAAGGAAATTAAAGTTCCTCGATCGAGTTATTCAGGAACTTAATGTCCCTCAGAAAGAATGATTTAGAAAGATAACTTCTTAACGTTAACTCTTGCATGCAGAGATAAGAGGAGGTCATACAAACTATGATTAACCAGATCCATGTCATGGATGTCTAGTAGGATCGAAACAACGATCTTGCAACACCGTGAATCATCGCACCGCACCTTTGTCAAGGGTAGAGGAGAATCGAGAACCATGCAGGAGGCCAAGAAAAAAGTTAAACTTGAGACTTTCTAATAAAAGTAGAGAAAAATATTAGGGATACTTTGGATGCGGTCCCTAGTCCCTAACATTCTTTGACTAAAACCTTAATGGTATTCAAAGTTTGATCAAAGTCCTTTGACTTTGTAATTCAAACATTTTGATTGAATAAATGGATAAAAACTATGTAACAAAATGTATCCATAGTGTTAAAAGAATTGGTACATTTTACAAAAATAATTGGTACATTTCACATATAACAAAGTGGTACATTAATAAAGAATAATAGGTACTGACACTCTCCGACCAAGATCAAGGCATGCTGGCCGTCACGTGAGAGTGATGTAGCCATGTGCACAGTGCGGAAGCCATAATGATAGGAATTATACGAATAATTAAAAACCAAATTACTAGAGTGCACTACTAAACAGGAAGTGATAGGAGTTAGTTACAAAAGTAAATACTCCTAATGAGAGCATAATAAGTCTAGGTGCAGTCCAGTAGGACAAGTACTAGTTACACAGTACCAAGAAAGTCCTACTATTATTTAGATAGGTCAGAACTGCCGACGTCCTCAAGCCACCAACAGCTAGTTTACTTAGAACCTGGAGGGGCGCAAAACAGAAAACGTGAGTGGGCAAAAACAAATGTTTTACAAAACCATTTCATTTATCAACATATCTAACCCCTCGCTGTAAAACATATATAATTTTTCTCAGTATCAAGATATAAGCAACAACAACAACAACAACAACAAAGCCTTTTCCCACTAAGTGGGGTCGGCTATATGAATCCTAGAACGCCATTGCGCTCGGTTTTGTGTCATGTCCTCCGTTAGATCCAAGTACTCAAGTCTTTTCTTAGGGTCTCTTCCAAAGTTTTCCTAGGTCTTCCTCTACCCCTTCGGCCCTGAACCTCTGTCCCGTAGTCACTTTCGAACCGGAGCGTCAGTAGGCCTTCTTTGCACATGTCCAAACCACCGGAACCGATTTTCTCTCATATTTCCTTCAATTTTGGCTACTCCTACTTTACCTCAGATAACCTCATTCCCAATCTTATCCTTTCTCGTGTGCCCATACATCCCACGAAGCATCCTCATCTCCGCTACACCCATTTTGTGTACGTTGATGCTTCACTGCCCAACATTCTGTGCCATACAACATCGCTGGCCTTATTGCCGTCCTATAAAATTTTCCCTTGAACTTCAGTGGCCTACGACGGTCACAACACGCCGGATGCACTCTTACACTTCATCCATCCAGCTTGTATTCTATGGTTGAGATTTCCATTTAATTCTCCGTTCTCTTGCAAGATAGATCCTAGGTAGCGAAAACGGTCACTTTTTGTGATCTTCGCTAGATTGCTCCGGTCATTAGTGTGGATAAGTATATAAATGGATAGAGATAGGAAAGCAAACACAAGATGTACGTGGTTCACCCAGATTGGCTATGTCCACGGAATAGAGGAGTTCTCATTAATTGTGAAGGGTTTACACAAGTACATAGGTTCAAGCTCTCCTTTAGTGAGTACAAGTGAATGATTTAGTACAAATGACATTAGGAAATATTGTGGGAGAATGATCTCGTAGCCACGAAACTTCTAAGTACCGGAGTGTGGTATCGTCTTGACTTGCCTTATCTGTCTTATAGGTAGATGTGGCATCTTCTCTGGAAGTACTCTTCCTCCATCCAGGGGTGGTATCTGTAACTGGTGGAGATGCACAAGGTAATGTATCAATTTCACTTGAAGCTTACTTGTAGTTTCATGCTTGGTCAAGCGCGATACAAACCATGTAGTAGGAGTCCCCCAAGTCGCCGAGCTAGGGGATCTGCTGAAAGAGGTGACAGACAAGGTAAGCAATCAGAGCTCCGGCTGATTGTTCACATTCTCCCTATCT